TTCTCAAGCCCAACAGATTTGAAAACTCAAGATGAAAAAAGATGTTTATTTTTGACAGTTTAATCTCTGATATCTTGCTGTTTTATTGCTGCATGTTCAGTATTTAAGTTGCTACAAGACACCAGTTCATCCTAGCAGTTCATCCTGTTTAAGTATCCAAGTACTTGACCAAAAATATACATCTTATGTGTAACTGATTAAGAGTGGGCACTCACAGGGTTACTTTAGACCAAAGTCAATCAGGCATCCATTATTGGTTTCTTCTACCACATAGATACACATAGCTGTCAAAATGGATGCAAGCTCTAATCAAGTTCCACACACAAGCAGTAAAACTGAAGGGTGTACCTGGATCACCCATTCCTATTTACAGACAAATGCGTCTAGCACTAGATCAGGTCTGTGTTAGTTGCATGCTTAGTTTTGTGAGGACTCCTAGCAAACTAAAAATAAAATATTGAGAAGAGGTAGAAGAATGGATGGAAATGGGGATTGGCAGGATGGAATGGAGGTTTATTGTCGTTTCTGTTTACTTGCACTCAGTTTGTATTTAGAGAAGCAGTTTTTTGCATCTAACTACAAAGATCTAACCTCTACAGTTAGTCAGTCTAAGCTTTTCTCAATATATTCAGTGGTAATAGAACAAAGAATCACTAAGAGAGGCCCTCTGGGCCTGCAATGTATTACAGTTTCGGGAAGGGAGTGTCTTGTGATAAACCTAGTAGCAATGGAGAGGACCAAGCAAACTGATTAACAATACAATAGAGTTAATCACTTCTGTGGAAGAGTGATTCATACCATAATTTTGCAGAGCTTAAGTGTATCAGCTTACTTTAAATGTACAACCACTTTCATTTAACATCACAGAATCAGAGAATCAAAGAATCATACAGTGCTCTGGGTTGGAAGGGATCTTAAAGTTCAGCTAGTTTCAACTCCTCTGCTGTGGGGAGGGACACCTCCCACTGGACCAAGTTGCTCAAAGGCCCATCCAGACTGGCCTTGAACACTTCAAGGGATGGGCCACCCTCTAAAACACTCTAGGAATATACTTGATCAGGCATGAAACAGGAATTATCGCTTACACAGGTAAAAATACAAGGAAGAACTTACAATTTTCATCTTGTGCAATGCACTGGAGGGGGATTCCAAAGAAAGATGTGTAACTGTCATTGTACCACACCAACAGCTCAGTGCCCCTGGGAATATCTATACAGGCCCGGTAGAATATATTGGATCTAGTCAAGAGAAAAAGAAAAAAAAAAGCCTAATTTTGGAATAGGGCATTCTTCTTTTATCATACACAATGTTATAGTAGAAATTAATTGTTTTGGAAGCATTTCCGCAGATAACTAAATGAATAAGTTACTGATTATTTTAAAACCAAATCTGTCATAGAGAAGGATTTTATTCCTGTTGCACAGGCTAACAAAGACCTTACAAGCACTTTGTACCAAGCATGTGTTAAACAGTGAGGTTTTAAAAGGACCAAGATTTTAAGAAAATACAGATATTTTCTTGCAATGTCAGTTTCAAAGTGATTTTTTTTCAAAGCGATTTTAGAAATGGTACATTTTGCTTATGCTTATAAGCATCAAAGTGTTGCTCACAGTTCAGCAAATACAGCCATTTAAACAGCTTAGCATTTGTCATCTAAGATAAACTTAACATCATTTAGGGGAAAATAGACAACAGCTCTTTTATGTGAATAAGTTCTTTTAGCAAAAGGTTTGAAGTAGTGTGAAGTGACCTTTCATTACAGCAATGTACCACCAAAAGAGAGATCTCGGATTGTTGAGAAAAATAGTTTTTGGCTTAGGGGAAATAAAAAATTTGGGTTAATCAGAACATTCAATCATAAAATTTTCCCATATATGGAACATGAGGGTAATGTCAATGATCCTTCAGTAAATATAAATTAGTGTTACCATAAGTGTGATATCACATTGTTCCTGTGATAAAAGACTGTGAGTATTTCTAGACCATTGAAGTGGGAATTGAAGGGAAAAAAGGGAAAAATCCTAGTGTCTTTAGCATAAAAACAAGAGCCTTAATCTAATCTTGCACTGATGTAAATAGCTTCAGAGTCATACTTCTACAGTTAACAGATTTACATGGCAGCAAAAACTGTGTAAGATTAGAATCAGGCTCAAGATAAAAGAGAAATGTTATCAGTTTGCAGGGGCTTTTCCCCCTCATGCTTCACATGGAACAGTAAAACATACTCCTGTGAGATGGACAGAAATTCAATATATACAAGAAGAACAGTCCACTCTTGCTGAAGGATTACATACCAAAATGATACAGTCAAAGTACCAAGAAATGACCATTTTTTATAACAGCTTATGTAAGGCAGAAAAACATCTATAGACCAAAAAAAAAAAAAAATTAGGCTTCAACCAGTTTTCTGAGTGAAGAATTGCTACAAACATTATTCTGAAGCTCAAGATAAAAGTGTTTAGGGTTGGTAGGCCTTAAATTTAGACTTTCTATAAAGAATTGGCTGTAGCAATGCAATTTGTTCCTTGTATAACACTGCAGACATAAGGAGAATCTTCTACCACATTTTTCATGGCAGTGAGATATGCACTTGTCAACATATTTTGTCACCGCAAAGTGGCTCTTGGCAACAGGATCATAAAGATCAATAAAAAAGTGCAGATTCTCAATATTTTACTAGCAGCTGCAAAAATTTCATTTATCTTGTTATTTTCCTCGCTTACTGCCACCCTGTCTCAGGAGGGCACTGCTAGCTAAGCAGAATGGTTTTCTTAGCCTTCTATGAATATCTGACAAAAACTCTCCCCTTTGTGTCTCCCCTTCTCCTTCTCCTCCTTCTCCTCCTCTTCTTCTCCCTCTCTTTCTTCCCAGAGCTACACGTTAAGTTAATTTTTTCCACCGTTACATAAAAATGAAAATTGAAGCCACGCTATAAATTACCAGCATCTCTTAACTTGAGAAAAATTGAGTCTACTTTGTACTTCACCCTTGTAACATTTCATCTCTCAGTTTGGCTTCCCTTAAGATAAACACAGCAGCTCGGCAAATGAATGTGCTAAAACCAAATGACACACTTTGCCGCTGAAAGACCAGAACTGTTTTTGAGCAATGGGTGGTCTGTGAGGCTTGGAGTAGGCAGGGAAAAAAATGTGTAAGTGTACACCGTTCCTTACAAGTGTGCAGAGCTTCCAAAACTCGCAGAAATCTCTGCATGCTGAAGTACATCAAAGGGATTTTTCCCTTTTTGGATAATATTTCCTTTGCTGACATGTATTTAGTATTGTGGTTGGATGACTCATAAAGATAGCTTCATGGCGTCCCAACGCAGTTGAAGCAGAACACATGCCAACAAACATTATTGTCAGCCTCAAAATAAAAACAAAACGTTCAGCTAAGGGTCAATCAATCAAGAGCACTTTGAAGAAAATTCCATTTAGATATTACAAATCATAACAGAATGAATTTAAACCAGCTGACTTTCTGTGAGGAGAACGTCCATGTACAATAAAAATTAGGCTGGTTTTTCAGTGTCCAACTTTTCTATTTTCTTACACTTGGATGCAGTCACCAGTGATGGATGCCAGTTTTTTAAATTGTGTTTTTGTAGTTCATTTTATAAAGATCTGAAGTAATCGAAAACAGATCAACAGGGGGAACTCTAAGTAAAAACTCCACCATGAAAGGAGAGTTGTAAAATCCACTTAATATTGACAGATGTGTAATGACTTTCTCATGCTCACTTTTCATTTAGGTTTGTCGTCTATATATATGTACGCATATATTTTTTTTCTTATTTTTATGTATACATGTGCAGGCACACATCACCACATTGAGAAATAGTCCACAAGATACCCACAAAAATACTCTTTCATCACAACAATCTTTATTCATTATCCAGTGTGTTTATTTAAAATCCTATGGTATTTTAGCTATAGATAGCAGATACTTAAGTCTATAATGAAAGATTTGTAATGTATAAATAGAATTGTTATTTTTTTAACTGTGGCATTATTTAGTCAACTGGATAGAGAATAAAAAAGCTGAAAATGCAACTGAACAATTTTACCATTTTTAAATTGGAACCCTATGGCATAATCAAACTTTATATATTTCATTTTAGATTTCTTTTTGTATGTTTTATTTTTATATTTAGAGGTACTTTAAATAAATTTAAGATTATTCCTAAATAAAAGAAACTCTGCTTTCTAAAATCAGGATTACTCACTGCGACTGGCAAGCCAAGCCTGGTGCATTCTTTGATGTGTTTCCTACCATATTTAATAAGGCCAAGTGGTCGCTTCTGATTCTGAGGCAAAAGGTTTGTTTATAGCTGAGATCATGTATTTATGTAATGTGTTGTCTGGGTTTTCTGGATGTGTTTGCAAGTATAAAGTAAAAGGCATCATTATTTCTTTACATTTTTTTCACACTTTGACTTTCTCCAGCCAGCAACGTAAGAAGTACAAGCACTAGCAATGTTGGCTAGCAGGTGCGTTCAACATAGAAGTTGAACAACTCTATTAAGGGTGGAAGACTACTGGTGTTGACCTGTTTCTGATCAGATCATTCAGAAAGAGGGCTCCATGTAGCATGGTGGCCACACAGTGACACAAGGCTGCTCGGGCTCCCAGGAACTTCACGCTGAATTTTTTTATTATCACCCCAAATGAACACATCCATAACTCTGCTCCTGTCTTTGCAACCAAAGGCAACAGTACTGGTGACAGTTACAGCCTGACCTTCCAGTAAAACTTTGTATCATTGAGTAAATCAGAAAACACTTTACCTGTACTGAACCACTGTTAAGTTCTGCTCTCCACAGTGCCTCGCGCATCGAATATACCGCATCCAGCTTGACTTACTGGGTTCTCCTCCATCGATAAAGTGCTGCAGTGTCCCATCTTGGTCATATATCTGGGGAAGATGTCACAAGGTCAAGTAGTTAGAACAAATCATCAGCAATCATTTTTCACTGCTTTGTCCCTCTGTGTCTTTTCCAGGAATGTATTGCCATGAAGTTTGTCATTGCGTACTGATACTTTTAGAAATCTACATGGAACAGCAGAAGAGTATTTTTGGGGGATGCAAGTTTATCATATTTCTTTTATCAAGCCAATCTTTTTGTATTAAACATATTTGTGGTGTCTCAAAGATGTAACCATGTTTCCCAAAGAATATTTAACCTGTTTTGACAAGCTGGCCTTAAATAATGAACTGCAAGATAAACAAGAAAATCTGGATGTAAAGCGTGCATTGAAATGGCTGGGACATCTGAGCAAGGGGCAGTAGTAATCCCTAAACAAGTATTCTTTCCTTCACATCTCAGTCGCAGCAAGAGCGTGTTCTACAGCAACCTCACATGATACGTTAGGGAATTGTAGGATTCATAATATCAAAACAAATGAGACTAGAAGGAAAAAGAGAGTTGATGATGCCTTTAGAAGCTCCCTTGAGAAGCTTTTTTGAAGTAGTAAATGAGAAATCAGTCCTGAGGGAATCATTGTTTTCCTAAACATGACATCCCTGATAAGGACATAAGAACCAGTTCTGGTAATTTTTAAAAAAAGACAGTATTATGTCTCTACTTAGCAGTGGATGCCCCCTCTGAAGTCAAAGAATGAAGTTGCTCTGGAGGCTCTGAAATGAAAAGTGTTTCATGCATACCTACCATTTTGACTGCTTAAAAAATGTTATCTAGGTAGGTCTAATCCTAGTAAAAGCCAATGACTTCAGAAGATATTTACTTGTTACACAATTACTTTGTCAAAATTCACGAATGCATCTAAATTACTAGGTACCTGTCTGAAGTAAACCCCATCTTCATGTCTTTTGTCCCTCCATGAACATCATTTGTTTTAACAGTCCTACCCCAAAAATGCTATCCCTTTTGAAATTTTATGAACCTGAATCAATGTTTTCTTGCAAGTAATAATCTACTATGTAAAGAGGAAGCACATTTATTACATTGAATTGAACATTTCTAGAGCATACGAATTAACAACCTTGCATGTCTATTTCAATATCAAGAGAATAATCTGAGAAATTATGAGACTATATTCAATACTCCAGATTTATTAAAAGAGTGTTTCCAACAATCTACACAAAAACATACAAAGGAATCAGAATCTAGTTCTTTACTCCATCACAAGAGAGTCTCAAATTCAGGAGCCAGCCTAGCTTTTGCTTTTAGCCAAGTTGGACTGGGAGTAATCAGGAGCAATATATCCACTGCTAGAGCATGAGAGACACAGAAATCAAGTGTCTATGGCGATCTTTATAGTTTGTTCCTGAGTGTCTGTGACAAGGACCAGGTGACAAGGCCAGATACTCCTGGGTTGGATAAGTAAGGTGCTACCCCAACATGCACTGAGTGGAATAAAGTCAGAGAAACTGGGAGTCCTCAGAGGCAAACAAATACTCCGATACCAGGGATTAACTTCATTTTATATATATGGTAACATACCGATTATCAACAAGAACCTATTCTTTTTTAAATATATTAGAGTATGTTGAATATATGAACAAAATATGCTAACCAATAAAACTCTGTAACTGAACGAAAAAAGCTTTACAGGAAATCAGTCTACAAAAAGGAAGAGAAGGAAAAACTAGTGACTAACTGTTGGCTAGGACCATTTTGGCAATATCTATGCAAACAGTCTCAGCACAGTGTTTATTATCTATCCATTTACATGGTGCTTATTCACATAACAATATATGGCTTAACATGAGGCAGAAAAAATTCCCATAAATAAAGAGCTGATAACTTCCTAATACCAGATGATATGAAACAGGAAAGACAAGGAAGACTACCATAATCAGTACTGACAGTCATATCTTGACACACAGGGTCCTACTCAGAACTGCATGTAAATCGTCAGTCAGGAACTGACAAGAAAAATTACAATCTGTTATGGAAACATAGTGGTGGAGCTTTCTTGGGCCTTGGACTGCACTACAAGTAAGACTAAATATTTTCAAATGCTTTATTCTTGCAAGTAGTGGTGCAACACTATAACATCTTCTACAGGTGTCTATCCTAAGCAGTTGAAAACAGTGCCAAAGAGGCTAACGGTTATAAGCCTGGGTACTGAGTTTATCATTTGTAAAAGGTATGCAATTATAGAATTATAGAATAATTTAGGTTGGGAGAGACTTTTAAGATCATTGAATCCAACTCTTAACCCACCACTGGCAAGCCCACTTCTGAATCAAGTCCCTAAATGCCACATCTACACTTCTTTTAAATACCTCCAGGGATAGTGACTCTACCACTTTCCTGGGCAGACTGTTTCAGTGCTTGACAACCCTCTTGGTGAAGAAATTTTCCCTAATATCCAATCTAAACCTACAGTGGTCCAACAAGCAGCCATTTCTTCTAATTCTGTCACTTGTAACCTGAGAGAACTCACCTTGCTACAACCTCTTTCAGGTAGTTGTAGAAAATTATAAGGTCTCCTCTGAGCCTTCTTTTCTCCAGACTAAATAACCCCAGATCCCTCAGCCTCTCCTCATCAGATCTGTACTCCAAAACCTTTGCCAGCTCTGTTGCCCTTCTCTGGACACACTCCACGACCTCAATATCTTTCTTGTAGTGAGGAGACCAGAACTGAACACAGGATTTCAGCCGTGTCCTCACCAGTGCTAAGCACAGAAGAATGATCATGTCCCTGGTCCTGCTGCCTACACATTTTTTGATACAAGACAGAATGCCATTTGCCGCCTTGTCCACCTGGACACACTGCTGACTCAGCACTCCCAGGTCTTTTTCAACTGGGCAGCTTTCCATCCGCTCTGCCCCCAGCCTGCAGCACTGCATGGGGTGTTGTGGCCCAAGGGAAGGATCTGACACTTGCCCTTGTTGAACCTCATAGAATTGAACTCAGCCTATTGATCCAGCCTGTCCAGGTCCCTCAGCAGATCCTTCCCACCCACCAGCAGATCAACACCCCTGCCCAACTTGTAATGTGCCAGCTGGTTGAGAGGGCACTCCATCCCCTCGTCTAGATCACAGATAAAGATATTGAACGGTAATGGTCCCATGGTTGAGTCCTTGGGAACATCGCTAGTGATTGGCCACCAACTGGATTTAGCGGCATGTGCCTCAACTCTCTGGGCCTGGCCATCCAGACAGGTTTTTTACCCAGTGAAGAGTGCAAGCCATGAGCAGCCACTTCATCCAAGAGAATTCTGTGGGAAATGGTGTCAAAGGCTTTACTAAAACTCAGGTAGACAATAACCACAGCCTTTCCCTCATCCATTAAGTGGGTCACCCTTCCACAGAAGGTTGGTCAAGCAGGACCTGCCTTTCATAAGCATATGTTGGCTGAGCTCAATCCCCTCATTGTCCTGTACATACCTTGTGATGGTAATGAAGATAATTTTTTCCAAGACCTTACCCATCACCAAGACAAGACTGACAAGCCTGTTGTTCCCTGGATCCTCCTTCCTGCTCTTCTTGTAGATAGGCATCACTCCTGCTAACCTCAGGTCCACTGAGACCTCCCTGATGAGCCAAGGCTGCTGATAAATGATTGAAAGTGGCTTGGTGAGCATTTCCAGCAGCTCCTCAGAACCCTTGTGTGGATCCCATCCAGCCATGTAGATTTGTGTGTGTCTAATTGGTGTAGCAGGTCCCTGAACATTTTTCTCTTGGCTTATAGGGGCTTCATTCTGCTCCCCATCCTGGTCTTCCAGCTCAGGGGGCTGCGTACTCAAAGAAGAACTGGCCATACTATTAGAGACTGGATCAAATCAGGCATTAAGCACCTCAGCCTTTTTCTTGTCTTTTGTTACTATGTTTCCTCACACATCCAGTAAAAGGTGGAGATTCTCCTTAGCCCTCCTTTGTCACTAATTTATTTATAGAAATAATTTTTTATATTCTTTTACAGTAAGTAATTCTATTTGGGCTTTGGCCCTTCTACTTTTCTCCATGCATAAACTCTTGACATCTTTGTAGTCCTACAGAGTTGCCCACCCCTTTCTTCCAAAGCTCAGAAACACCCTTTTTTCCCCCTTAATTTTCAGCCAAAACTCTCTGTTCAGCCAGGTTGGTTTTCTTCACCATCGACTCATCTTTCGGTACATGGGGACAGCCTGCTCCTGTGCCTTTAAGGTTTCCTTCTTAAGTTACATCAAGCCTTCCATGACTCCTTACCATTCAAGACTGCCTCCTAAAGGACTCCGTCAGCAAGTCTCCTAAACAGGTCAAAGTCCGTCCTCCAGAAGTCCCAGGTGGCAGTTCTGCTGACCCTCCTGCTTACTTCTCTGAGATTTGAAAACTCATTTTGTGTATTGCTGTGCCCAAGACAGCCTCCAACCACCACATCACCCACGAGTCCTTCTCTGTTCACAAACAACAAGTCCAGCAGGGTACATTCCCTAGCTGACCCGCTTACAATCTGTGTCAGGAAGTTATCTTCCACACACTCCAGGATCCTTGTGGACAGTTTCCTCTCTGCTGTTCTGTGTTTCTAGCAAACATCTGGTAAATTGAAGTCCCTCACGAGAGCAAGGGATTATGATTATGAGACTTCTCCCAACTGCTTACAGAATATTTGACCTGCCTCTTCATCCTGTTTGGATGGTCTACAACAGACTCCCACCAGGTTATCTGCTTTGTTGGCCTTCCTCCTGGTTCTTACTCATAAACACTCACATAATCACCATCATCTTCTTTTGAAGGAAACTTCCATGTCTTTATTTATTTACATTTTTTTAATTCACTTTGCAGCATTTTACTCATCCTCTGGAATAAATTAGTAGTCTAAGTAAAGTTGAATACATATATGCTCTGAGAGATGGGGGAAAGAGTGTTCAGTGGCATTACTGGTAGAAGAGAGCTCTATGGCCAACTTAACAAATTACAAGGAAACTTAGTTCTCCCAAAGAAGAAGAAATAGCAGTCTCTTTCCTGAAAAGCTCTGAGACTCACACAGCTAATTGCACAGTAAAATTCAGTGACTTGACTTGCCTAAGGCAGTGTTTGTTAAGCAAAATGCCAATGAGCTCTAGTGTTTGTTATGGTAAGTATACATTATTTATTTGTTAGCACTTTTAATCATGTCAAACTGAAAGCAAACTGGA